TGATAGTCACCATAAAAGGAATATGGGGCCCCTAGTAAAAAAAAAAAAAAAGGTTTTTAAAATTTTAAAAAAAAAAAAAAAAAAAAAAAAAAAAAAAGAAACGCAAAAGAAACTTTTGTATTCTTGAGGCAAATCAAACTTTTATTTCCCAATAAAACAGGATGATCTGTGTGTAAGCCAGAAACAGACATAAAGAGAATCTTTGTTCCTCTTCCTGGTCCTTGTCTTTGGTTTTGATATAAATAGTTAATCCAAATAGTTTTAATTTGTCCCCTCAGTATGGAGTCTAAAACTCAAATTAGACATTAGTAAAGCTTCCTATTCTGTGCAGTATCTCAGCTGATCCTAAAGGTTGCCCGTGCAATCTACTGCAGAAACCTCTTCAATTTCAGGGTCATCATAGCCCCAAGTGCACCAATAATCACTGGCACCAATGAAACCTGGACTCTCCACAGCTTCTCTTTTTCCTTTTTGAGACCTTAATTTGTTTCTGCTCACTGCTCTCCTCTACTCTTCATTGGAGACCCATGAAGTCTTTGCCTGACTGCCATCTTAAACCCAGTTATTATGTGCTGGACTGTTCCTGGGTCATCTTTGCTCTGCCTGAATCTTGAGTCATGTATAATGTGACAAACCCAGATATTTACCATTCTTGTGCTGAAAACCTGCTGCAGTAGTTGGTGCCTTTGTGTTGTCCATCAGTTCGGGCCTCTTTGGCTATTGGTGGGAGTTTTCAACATTGGTTACCTCCCTCACCCTGTTGGCGCCATGTAGAGGCCTGTCGCTTGATGGTGTCGTCTAGTCCTGTTCTTGTTCTCAGGCCTGACACATTCACTTTACAGCTCATCTTTGGGTGCCATCTTCCTGATGTACTCCTGGTTCTTTGCCGTTATGCCCTAAATATTGACTTTGTCACTCATTAGTCCTCAAACTCCTTCATCTGCTTGACATACAATCTCAGGATGCCGGAGTTTGGGTAGAACCTTTCATGTATTACAAGAATCTTCCACGTCTTGACATCAGGGGCTTATATCTCCTTTCATCAGTGGGTTAATTGATGACTAGAAAAGCATATGGGTTGATGAATTGGACTCTTTTCAGGACCCGTCTTACTTATTACGTAGGTTGAGGCAGTCTTCCTTGTGGACTCATCGTGGTTGACATTTTCCTGTGGAATCTGCTGGTCAGGAGCAGCAATAAGTCTTTGTTTCTAAGGTTAGACCCATCATGACAGTTACTACTGAAGGCTCTGGGGCAAAAAAGTTAAATGGCAACCCTTCAAAAAGACCCTTGAGATGCTGACTGCAGCCCAAAAACAATGAAAGAAGAAGTTTAAGAAGAAATGATCTTGGAAGGTCATGTCTCTCACCATAAAACCAACTTCCCCTTTTTCATTTGATCTGAATCTAATTGTATTCTTGGCTTTAATTTGAATGAATCTGGCTCATGTGAAGTGACTTTATACATAACAGAACTGTATTTGATTTGCACTTGTTTGACTTTTAAAGAGCCTCACGATGACATTTGTTGTAAATTGGCTTTTCTATTTTTTAACAGAAATGCATTCTTTAAGTTGATGTAAAAAGTTATACAAGAAATAATGAGATGTAAATTTAATCATAGATATTTAAGGTGTAAGACGAGACTTAGTCGAAATTATTATGGGTCAATTTGCATTCATTGTCTTCTGGGTTCAGCAGGCAGTGACTTCTTGTTTTAACCCCATTTGCATATTTTTTAAACTCCAGGGTCTAATTAATGTTGTAGAAATCCTTAACAGATTGTTTTTCTTAAAAAATGTGCATACATAATGGACATCACTGAAAACCAAAGTGATAGTTTGTTCCTGTTTTCTTTTTTCAGGTGGAAGTCACTTTCAACTTTTTGGAAATCAGAGCAATGAACACCTATCCAGACTTCCAGGTCAGAAGCTCACCTGTGTGTGAACCATACAGTAAGTGTAACTTGTTACAGAAAGAAAAACTGATCTCGTGTTTATATGCAGGTGGTCATCGATACAGACAAGACCACCTTCTCGCTACGCCTTCAGACGCAGGAGCAGCTGGATCATGTGGTCAACCACATCAACTACGCCCTCTCCCGCGTCTTTAACAACTCAATTTATGCGTAAGTCTTGAAAGAGAAAAAATGAATTTTTCAGTGTTTTTTTTTTTTTTTTTTTTTCTTCTGAGACAAACACTCGCCTTTGTGTCGGCGAGCCGACATTGTCGTATCGTTTTCTTCTTTAGCCGTTAGATTTGTTTTTATCGGCGCTGTAATTTGCAGCGGCTTTATTTCTGCCTCGGTACACTTTAGGACTCGGCAGCAGTTGCTGTTTTTAAAGAGGTTCATGTGTGGAAGATGAAGCAGCCGTAAAACCCACCGGCAGTGACTTAGCAGCAAACCCTCTCTCTACACGCAGGAAGCCGTTCTTGAACTGGCCTCTTGTCCTGGGTGGATTGTCTTTTGTTTAAGTCTGATTTATTTTAGGATTCTCAGTCTTTGATGTTCCTGACTTCGTCCTGCTTGTTGGCGCGCTCAGGGCCGCGATGCCACGTCCATCCAGTTCCACGCACTTTAATGGCTGTTTTTCATCCGGCTCCCGTCAGATGCTCGCTTCCAGCGAGCACATTTAAAGACACTAAAGAGCGGAGAGAACAGAGGGGGAGATGATGATGTGGGTTTGATTGCACAGCCGTGTCACTGATTGGTTCTGCTGCACCGAAGTGGAAAACGCAGGTGGTGTAAAAATAACTCGCGCCCGATGATGATTGTGGTGATAAGGTAAGGATTAAGGTCGCGAATGTGGTCAGGTGTGTGCGGTTTGTTGACAAACAGGATTAAGCGTGGTGTGTGCTGAATTCAGCAGCGTGATGTAATTCCTTCATAAAACAAAAAGGAAGCAGATGCAACCAAACATCATGTGCAGTACAGTAAAAGCATTCTTACTTTTTTTTAAATCGCATTTGGTGGCATTATGATTGCAAGCTACAAAGTGTATTTTTTGACATTTTCAAAAAAATAGTGCATGATTGTGAGAAAAGGGGGAAACGGATGGAGCAAAGTCTATTCACAGCAACCAGAATAAAAAATCTATTTATAGAAGATTTAAATTAGTCAATTAAAATCTCAGAATAAGAAAAAAAAATCTCCATCTGCATCGACTGCTTGCTCTGGCAGGCCAAATTTATACCATTCTTGAATTGACCTTTCAGGTAAGATAAGGTAATTTTATTATGTAGCACATTTTCAACAACAAGACTGAAGTTCCAGGTGGTTTACACGAATTAGAAGGAAATGCAAACAAAACAACAAACCAAAAGAAAGACAAAAATATTAGTGAGTTATAAAACTAAATATTGGTTTTTCCATGTTTAAAAAAACCCCCAAAAGATTATTCAATGAGTCCTAAATGGCACCACACACATGGTGTTGTTAAAGCAGATTCGGTATATCACATGGTAGTCTAAGTTCAGACCTGAATCCATTCGGGGAATCCTTAGAAAGACGTGGCAATTGATGGCCTCAGGCGTTCTCCATCCAAACTAACAGAGCTTTCGCTATTTTGCACAGAAGAATGAGCAAAAACTTCACTTACTTAGATGTTCGAACCCCAAAAACCTGCTGCTGGAACTACAGAAAAAGGCAATTTTAAAGTATTGACTGAAGAGGCGTTCGTGCAGACACACACCGCACTTTTCAGATTTTAATCTGTAAAAACATTTGAAAACCCTTGTATCCTGTTGCTTCATAACTTGGCTCTACATTTTGTTGGTCCATCACCCAAAATCTCAATACGATATTTTGAAGATTGTTTGTACAATGCGGCAATGTGAAAATGTTTTAGGCATGTTGTGCTTTTGCAAGGCTCTGGATGTTAATTTTCTCCAGAATCCAACCTATTTTCATTTGTGCAAAAATAAAAGTCATGTTCTCTCCAGTACAGTATGGTGTGTTTGATGTATTTAGTTGGCTTAAAATCCCAGTTTCTCACAGATCTCTGCATACTGAATGTCAGTTTTCAGGAAAGAAACAATAGTATCAGAAGTATTTTCTGTTAGGTTGCCAACCAGCGTCTCAGGAATCAAATTCTCCTTTCTGCTTTTTATTTATTCATGACCAGTGCACAATGTCATAATCAGCTTTGACTTTGTAGAAGCTATTGATGCATCTCTGACTTAAGTATCTATAATGAACAAAAATGAGCCTGCTGCAAATGAGCCTCTTCCCCAGTGCAAACAGGGCTCTGTAATAACCTTAAAAAAATATTACAGAATTTAGCCGTGTAGGTTTGTGTAGTTTTGTTAAAATGCTCTCTTTGTGCGCTTGTGTAACTCAGCCAGAAAGGAGAAATGCATTATTGTTATTATTGCTAATAGCAGAAGCCTGCCCAGCAATAAACGGGTGGGCTGCGCCGAAGCTTGAAAGCCGCCTTGTGCCTTTGAAAAGGGGAAAAAAAACAGGAGTCGTTTGCAGAGCGGTCTGCTCGTTTTGTCCGACCTGAAACTAAATCCGCAAGACTTTAATTCGCAGCTCCTGTTGGGAGCGATCTGTGTCAGCTTAGATGTGCCTGAAGCGCTGTGGGTGTTTTACGAACCGTTGGATTGATTACCGCTAAAACTGATTTCAGTGATTTGTTAATTTGCAATGATTTTTAGTTTTTGTTATTGGCTTTTTAGCTGTTTATCTATTAACACTTTTGATTAGTCAGCCCTGTTTCTAACTGTTTGACAGACTGCGGCAAGGGGATACCAGTCGGGTCTTTACTGTGAAATACAGCCCAAAACCTGTGGGAAAATAGTTTTTAGATTGAATTACTCGTCACTTGCTAAATTAAATCTAATGCCACGAAAAGGAAGATTGAATCCGGGTGAAACAGCTGAAACGTTGGCAAAGAAAAAATGAAGATGTTTGTAAGGGGGAAACTACTTATTATAACTGCAATTACCACATTTCTTCACCCCAACACATGGCTGCAGGACAGTAACCAAGTGAAACACCTACTTAAAATCTGCTTGTTTTTTTTTTATTTTCTTTTTCCACTGCAGGTATTAAACATTAAGTTGCAGCATAGCTCGACATGACCTGCCTGTAGATTTGTGTGCGGCTGAACAAATTTTTTTTTTTTCCGTTTTCTTTTTTTCAGTCCTCCGATTTGCCGAGCGGAGGGAGACGTGCCTGATGGCAGCCATAAGTTTTCACCCAACTCTGAATCGTCGTTGGAGCCTCCTAAGACCTGTGGTTAGTTCTGCACACACAGGCCCACGTAACTGGAGATCAACAATGACTGCAATTGAGAGTCCATTTCCCCGCTTTGACAGTTACACCATAAAAAAAAAAAAAACAACCTTTTTAGGACTTGGCTGAAAGTGGGTGAGAAGCCCGAATTATTCTTCTTTCTTTTGCTTGTAATCTTCTTAATCTACATGAAGAGCTCTTTGAAGATCTTCTTGTCGTCTTTCATCTCACCGTACCGCAGCCTAACTCAGTCTCTCACATTCTGACGTTAACTTTAATGCACCTCATCTCTTTTTAAGCTTCAGATTTCTATTTAACTTCTTCTTGTATTGCACCTCGTCTGTTTGTGATTTGTGGACGCATCTCGTCATTTCAGGCGGTTTTTCTGAGACGTACGCTGCCCTTTGCGACTACAATGGGATTGGCTGCAAAGAAGAAGTCCAGTGGGTGAGAAGGACATGTTGTTGCTAATTCGATTCCTTTTTGATACGATCAATATTGATGGAATAGATGTACCTCAGTGAGTTAGGATATCACCAAAATGTGGACGTATTCATGTTATTGGCTAATCAGTGTAATATTGAAACTCGTATAGGTTGGTTATACATGAAGTGATGCTTTTGATGTTTTTGTTTCTCAGAAACTTTAAGTGTTATGTTTATTTGTGTTGGTCAGTTTAACCTTTCCATACACGGGTCATAAAAAGAAAAAGAGCACAAAATCTTGAAAAAAAAGAGACAAAACTAGTACAGAAACAGACATGTAGTATTTAAATACACAAAGTGTAGACTGAAAAATAAGCTTATTTTCTAATATTATGTAATATCTTTCACTTTTTAAATGCGCAGCATCATCCAAATCAGATCAACCCAATCTTTCCTGTATATTTTTATATTTTCCTCCTAGGAATTTCAGCTGAGTCTGAAGTCAAACTTTTCAAAAAAGAAACAAATAATCAAATCTTATTGTATTTGTTAAAACAATTTATTAAAAATAATTTGCTAATTTAAAAAGTAAAAAACAGTTTCAATCTCTCACAACTATCATTCCACACATTACCATTGTATTTAATATTAACTGCATAAGACCAAGGATTTCTGTTGTAGATATGCTTTATCATAACATCATGTTATTTTGTTCATCACAACATCCTCTGCCAGGAGAATAAACAACTAAAGGGTCACTACTAAAGAAGCTGGGTGTTCAGAGATCTGCATCCATGAATATTAATAGAAAGTTGAGTGAAAGGAAAACATGATAGAAAACGGCGCAGAAGAAACAGGGTTTACTGGGTCAGGTTTAAGCCTGTTTAAGAAGTTTTAGGAAATTTTTCTTCTTACTTTCAATAAACAGAACAAAAAAGAAAAAAGCTGATCTGCTGCTTCGTGCTCCAAACTTCTCCCTGAAAGTACATTTTGTATTTCATTTGGAAATAAATACTCCAGAGTCTGTGTGTGTGTGGGTGGAGGAGGGAGGGGAGAGTGAAAAGGAACAAAATCAATGCTGCTTGAGGTCCAGTTCAAGATTTTGAGAACTTCCTGCTTCTCTTGACTGACAACCTTTGCTGAGATGCAGATTTCTTTTTTTTCTTTTCTCACTGGGACTTGGAGCCTGCCCAACGACTGATTTAATGACCGTGGTAAAACTGTGTTTGATTGGTCAGAAAACTGCTCTAGGCACTCAAAATGAAAATGAAAAACTAGAGAGAACACTGCAGTGGAGCTGAGGGAATAATAATAATAATGAATGCATATATCTCAATTACCCTGTTCTCAAAGTTTTTTTTTTTTTTTTTTTTTTAACTTTTGTTTGCTTCTCTGTCGTTTCAGGATGTTGACACGATCTATCACTCTCAGGACAACCGGGAGTTCAACCTGCTGGACTTCAGCCATCTCGACAGCAGGTGACACACTTATCCAAACTTTGAAAAACCTCCAGACTCGTTAAGGCTCGTTAAGGCTCGCCGGCGTCTGCTGCTGCTTTCAAAGACCGCCGTCAGGTCGAGCCAAACTCTTCGGCTGCGGCGCCACACCGCTCTGGCACATCGAGCTTGACGCGTTGCACCGAAATCAGGCCAAAGGCATGAATAAATGAAGGTTGTTTACAGCCCCACCAAGGGCCATTTAGCAACCGGAGGAAAATAACAAACACACATTTGATACTTGTCAGTTCTGCTGCGGTCGATATCTGGCTGACATCTGTGGGTTGCACACGTCTGCCTGGTTTTTCCTTCTTTTTTTTTGTTCTTTCTCTCCTCTCTGATTCACACATTCAGCCATGTCTTTGTCAGTACAGAGACGCAGCTGAATGAGTCGGTGTAAAAGTGATTAACCATCAAGGTCACAGATGGTGAGAGATTTGCTAATATTTCTTAACTGCTTCAGAATGTCTCATTTAATGCTTAAATGAGAAATCCTGACGTTCTTCAGAAAGTCTTTCATCAGCGCGATGCGTTACGCGCTGGATCTGAATTAAGAAAACATCCAATGTTTTGAGCAGTAATTGCTTACCAAATTAAATGAGACTTGGAACTAAGTTGTGGCGAAGTGGTTGAGTTCGGCTGTTAACTCCACTTAACTTTGAACTGAGAAATTTGCAATTGGATATTTGTAGATGGCCTGGGTTTTGCAGAAACTGCTCATGAACTCGGTTCTCACAATTTTCACACGTTGTAATCTGAGGAGTGTGGCATGCAAGCCAAATTTCACTGCAGTTACTGCTCCAGGTCTCCTGAGTTGCCTTAAAAAGGTTTGCACGTCTTTTAACCTCCTCAAGGCGTCTCAATGGCTACGATTACACGGTAGATGTTGACGCTCAACTCTGATTCTTTTGCTGAAATCAGATTTTTTGTTGTTTTTTTTTTTTTGCGTGGTCGATCATGCTATTAATTAAATGCAGTTACACATAATCAGACTTGTGGGTGAACAATTTGTGACTCCAAAGTGACCCACAAGCGCAGAAAAATAACTTAGACGTGATAATGGAGCGATTTTTGAAGCAGTTGTCGAGCAGTGGGAGCCGACAGTATTGTCAGAAGATCAGAAGACGAAGGAAGCTAAGAAAAAAAAAATGAAGGTACAATGGATAGTAATGACCTTTTGTGGAGCTTTGACTGCAACGTCTGCAGAGAGGTCTGTCGGGATACGACTTTATCTGACAAAAGTCGGATGAAAAGTGACATGACCGTTCTGACTTCAGCCGCTTGGAAAACGATCTGATAAAAATCCGATTTAGCGCCACATTTGGAAGTGGTACAAATCAGATTTCTTTTCTTTTTTTCTTTTTTTTTCTTTTTTTATGAATAACGTTGAATGTGGCAGCAGAACCGTGTATCTGCTTGGTTTGGTCTACTCCAGCCTTGGTCTTTAAAAACAATCCCTGCTCCTGTTCGCCCCGTCAGGAAGCTTCATTTGGTCTGATATCTGTCCAGTCGTGTCCTCATCAGACACTGACTCTGAATTTGCAAATAGAGAGGGAGGACTCGTTTTTTTTTTTGTTTTTGTTTTTTTGGTTCTTTTTGTTTGAAAGCCAGCCGTAGGCATCTACTATTCATTTTAATTACTCCTGCAACACTATTTAGTTGTTTTCCCTTTTATACTCATGAACATACCATGTCATGCCTATGCACAAAACCTTTCCATATCACCATATTTCTGTGTTGTTGGGTATTCCAAAGCGGTCAGGTGATCAAAAAAATCTCAGATAATTTAATTTTATATTAGTTTTGAAAGATATACCACAATATTATAAAGTAAGTTTGTAACAAGCAATGTACTTATAACCCACATATCAAAAAGTGAACCTCTAAAACCCAAAATTGATCAGTTTTTTCTTGCAGTGTTCTCAAACTACTTTCTAAACGCCAAGATTATATTTGGAGTAGCATACAAGTTGGTACTCTGCACAATTTGCATTTTAACCATTTCTTTTTTCTGACCTCTTGATATTTAGCTTAAAGGTCAACCACATAGACTCAAACACTAGTTCTATATTCCATGAAATAATCGCTCTTCAATATATTATTAATGTTTTACTTCAGCAGCAGCAGTGTAACCTTTTTGGTCTATACCAAGATAAAAGCTGCTGTTTGTCCACATTATTGGATAGAAATAAGCTTCCCTGAAACACGGTTTCATTTTACCCCAAATGTCTGCAAATATTTTGAAGTATTAACTAGAGATGTGCCGATCAGGTTTTTTCCTGCCGATTCCGATTCCGGTCACCCATGAAGGCCGATCACATAATATATATACATATATTTTATCATAAACACTACCGGTTACATTATGTGGAAAAAAACCCCATGAATTCGCCTTAATTTAGACAAAAATGTGTTTTTAATAACTTTTTCCAAGAAATAAAACAAAACAGGCATTGTGCAAATTGTACTGCTATAGTAATACTAT